ACAGATCTTGGATTGACCCATCTCGATCGTTGACCCCTGAATTTGGGTTCGGCGAAAAAATCCGACCTTTTTCCGGTGAGAAGCTCGAGACTAAGGAATTTAAAGGGTTCAATTTTTTTTTTTTTTGTTGAGTGGTTTGGTTTTGGGTTGATTATGTTGACCCAATTTGTTGGGAGTCTGAAGTACTTATGGAACTGATTGTCACAAGACAAGAACATCATCAACAAACAAGAATAAGATGACCCTTTACATTCGTCGCGAATCTTCCAAGGTTCCGTCGATTTTTTCTCGTAATTCGGCTTCTGGGTTTTTCGAATTTTTGTCTGATTTGTTACTTTTTTGTTTGTAGCTATGGAAGAGATTTTGCTTTGAGATCACGACGGAGATCGGTCTTTCCGCTGAGAACTGGATATATCTTCTAGCTGGACTTATCTGTCAGGTTCAATTTCATAACTGAGAAATTTTGGTATGTGAGATTCATTCATTTTTTGTAACTCTTGATTTGAAATCTGAGAGCGTTTTGATGTTGTTGTTAGCTTGAAATGAATCCTATCAGATTCAGATTAAAACTTGGATCGTTATTTTTTATGCTGAGTGTTAATGATGAAGTTTGGAATGGAAAACTTAAAATACTGTTAAAAGATTGTGATCATGGTTTTTTTTATACATAGTAACTTTTGAGAGAAAGCTTGTGCTTTGAGTTTCTAGGATTGTTTACTTAAGGAAAAGATATAGCTTGAGTGTGTTGGCTTTTGTTTTGGTTTTAACAATGTAGCTTTTCGTTTCTTGGGGCTTACTTTGTTCTTGAAGTTGTGTTGTTTTAACATTTTATCAATGGATCTGTTATGTGCAGTACATTCATGGTTTAGCTGCTAAAGGAGTTCATTATATTCATCGCGCGGGACCGACTCTCCAGGATCTTGGGTTCTTTCTTCTTCCGGTTTGTCTCAGACATCCCAGCTATACATGCTCATACAATTCATCGGATTAGAATAGTTGTCTTATAGCTTTTGTTTTCCATTGTATAGGAGCTTGGTCAAGAGAGAAGCTACATAAGTGAAACCGTGTTTACTAGTGTATTTGTTTCGTTTTTCCTGGTGAGTCTTTCGACCTTCATTTTTCCTCACTTTCTAAGATTTATATACTGGTTGGCCCTCTTTCTGGTAATTTGTTTTTAGCAATAGCTGAAATCTTACTTTGACGGAGGTTTTGTCGAGCAGCCCTTACTTGATTATATTCCGATATTAATACGCCTTGAGCATCTATTGCAGTGGACTTTCCATCCATTCATCCTGAAAAGCAAAAAGATATACACTGTGTTAATATGGTGCAGGGTTCTAGCATTCTTAGTTGTAAGTGCACTTCTTTACTAGTTACTACAGATTTAAGCTTGCTGAGATTACTTTGTCTTGTTGAATGTTGAAGTTTGTGGATGTTTTTGTTTTCAGGCCTGCCAGTTTCTCCGTGTTATAACTTTCTATTCGACGCAACTTCCTGGCCCAAATTATCACTGTCGCGAGGTAAAACAACTGAGATACATACACAAGGTCTCATTTGTCTTATCGGTTAAGCTTAATTTTTGCCCACTTTTTCTACAGGGCTCTAAAGTTTCCAGGTTGCCTTGGCCCAAAAGCGCACTTGAAGTGCTCCAGATTAATCGTGAGTCTACACATTTTTTTCTTTTCCCCAATCACAGATTGCGTTCATACGCATTTTCCTTGTTTGCTTATGTTCTAATGCGTTGACTCTGATCTCATCAGCTCATGGGGTGATGTACGGATGTGGAGACCTGATTTTCTCATCGCACATGATATTCACGCTGGTATTTGTCCTCACTTACCAGAAATATGGCACTAAAAGGTAAAAAAAGTTCATAAACTTTCTAGGCAATACCTTCAAAACTACTTTGAAAATGACATCTCTGCATCACTCTTCTGTTTCTTTTATGTCACAGGTTCATAAAGCTGTTTGGGTGGCTCACTGCAGCCGTGCAGAGCCTCTTGATTATTGCCTCCCGTAAACATTACACTGTCGATGTTGTTGTTGCGTGGTATGGTTTACTATTACACAAAAGTTTACCACAACAAAATTCTTCTGAATACAGAGATAAATTGACTTCTTGTTTTGAATCATGTTTAGGTATACCGTGAATTTGGTCGTGTTCTGTCTAGACAAGAAATTACCAGGTCTGATCTCATAAAACCCTTTTTTATCATAAATGAACACTTTGCTCAGATTCTCATTTTTTTCTTCTCAAATGTCCATACAACAGAATTACCAGATCGGACTACGGTGTTGCTCCCGGTAGTCTCGAAAGACAGAACCAAAGAAGAAAATCATAAGCTTTTAAATGGGAACGGTGTTGATCCTGCTGATTGGGTGAGCATATAAATCTGTTTTTGTTCTTCTTCTCAATCTGAAACAATCATCACATCATTTAATTTTTATTTTTCCGGTTTTGTTTAGAGGCCAAGGGCTCAGGTGAACGGGAAGATAGACAGCAACGGAGTTCACACTGATAACTCAATGAATGGCGCATAAAACGCACACCAGACTCGATGAAAAACAGCAAAATTAATGGTGTCATGAAGACTTGTGTGGTCTTTTTCCGTTTCGATGATTTTCTCGAATTTGGACTGAAAATTTCTGTAAGTGGGGTAAATTTTTGGTTATGGTTATTGTTCAAGAAAAGAAGAACACTGATAGAGAGAACTGGTAGGGAGCTATGCTATTTTGTACATTTTCCAGTTCCTTACTACCCAAGCAATCATCTTTTGATATTGGAACACGTTTTTTCTTCTTTTTTTGTCAATTTTTGTTACAAGAAACTGTTTCGAGCTTTTTAAGACTATGATGTTATGTGTGTGTTCTTCTTTAACAAAAAGAAATCTTCATTGCAAAATTAAATGGATTGTTGTTA